GTGGAGAAAGAAGGGCACTCTCAGTAAGCCAACAAGGACCTGAACAGAGTCTGCTGCTGTCGAGGACTTCAAGCTGGCTGTTGCTGTGATTGTGTTTTCACAGGAATGTGTGCCTCTGGGACACCTTGATAGCCCCTGGAAACAGCCTCATTCATGGTAAGTGAGTTCATTGTGGAAGGGCGCTTTCCTGGCTCTATTTTAGTTCATTCAACCAGTGGGGGTTTCCTCCTGGGTTGAGAAGGTTTAAAACGAATGATTAAAAATTCTAAAGGCTAATTAGAATGTCTGGCTGCTTTGCTGAAGTTCATCTATTTGGTCACGGACAATCTAAGTAGCCTTATAATATTGTGGACCATGGTGCTACTAACAAAGGTGTTTAAGAAAGTAACTGTAAAGCATTTATTAGCTTCAAGAGAAATGAGGTAACATTTTAGAAAATGAAACATAACCATAAAATAAAACAAAGATTCACCTTATAATAAGAGCTAGAAATAGACCAATTCAAAAGTATTAGTCCTTTTGCTTAAGAAATATTCGCCATGCTGGGGTCCTTAAGGAGCTCTGGTGGTGCAGTGGATTCCACGTTGGGCTGCTAACCACAAGGTCAGCAGTTCGAAACCACCAGTTGCTCCAAAGGAGAAAGATGAGGCTTTTCACTTATGTGAAGATTTACAGTCTTGGAAACCTACAGGAGCAGTGTGATTATGCTGTAAATCAGAATGGACTCGATGACAGCGAGAAGTGTCCTGAAGTGCACGTCTGTCTTGCACAGAATGTTACCCCACCCACTCACAGAAGCGTTTCATCTTTACGTTGTAACTGATCATTTTATACTAGTGTCATTAAGTGTGGGATATTTGAGAAGATTTTTGATGACTGCTCCTGTGGGTTTCTGAGGCTGTAAATCGAGGAGTGGCTGGTAGGTTCGAACTGCCTACCTTGCAGTTAGCAACTCAAATTAGAACCTGTGATACTACCAGGCTTTCCCGTGCGTGGGACTAGGCTAGGGTAAATAGCAGCCATTGGTAGGTATCAATGAGGTGGCTGAGGGTGTCCTTGAGCAGTTTGGTTTCTTCTGCTTGTGTACTTCTTCATCTTAGAAAGCTGCACTGCTTAAGTTTGGACTGAAGGTTTAAATGTCCTTTTACTGTAGGGTGTGTGTTTGTATGTGCATGTTTTCAGATTGAGATTATGATAGAAATAAATACATCTATGCATTGCTTAGCATCTTTTAAAAAAACAGTTTTATTGGCACATAATTTACATATCATACAATTCAGTAGTTCAATCATTCAATTATATCAAGGAGAATTGTACAATCACTACCACAACAATTTTAGAACACCCCCCCACACTTAGCGTCTTTAAAAATACATATTTAAATTAATTATATGGCGACAGAAATTCAGTGGCTTAAGAAATACCTTAGAAATAAAAAGTGGCTCAGAAATGCCTGTGTCATGTCGAGGAAGAGTGACCATTGTCAGACGGCCCAGGGAAGAGGCTGTTGGGGGATACTGGTCTTGTACTTCCTCAGGTTTCACGTGCCATGACCACGGGGCCACGGTCCTTCAGTACGCACCGAAGCAGCAGCTCCTCATCTCTGGAGGCAGGAAAGGCTATGTCTGCATTTTTGACATCCGGCAGAGACAGCTCATTCACACCTTCCAGGCTCATGACTCGGCCATCAAGGCCCTAGCTTTGGATCCCTATGAAGAATATTTCACGACAGGTTCAGCAGAAGGTAACATAAAGGTAAGCCAGTACAAGAGGTTGGAATGTGCTGCACGTTACCACTTTCAAGACTGAATGATAAAAAAGGAAAACCTCGGGAAATAGCCCAACAAAATCCTTTTCTTTAACAATTCTGAGCTGTTGTTGACACCCTGGCCCCACCCCACTCCGGCTTCTGTGTGGCGCTTTCTAAACGGTTACACAGTCTCCCAAGCCTGGTGGTCAAGTTTATGATGTTCATGGCTGGTTAAAAAGTCATAAGGAACTCTGCTTTGAGTAAAAGATGTGAGTTTAATGAATACTCAGTTTGTCTAGTGATATCTGGTTGGCTTCTCAGAACCGATCCTTCTACCCTTCCCCAGCCCCATCCCTCACACTGGACTTCCTGTGAGATAGTGGAGGCAAGATTTCCATAGAAGTGAGGGAGTGCGGGACTGCTTTTATGTCACCACAGGGCCAGCTTGGTATTAGGGACCTATGAGATCAATTTAAATATCCAATTGGATTCCAGGTAGGCTTGGTATTAGGGACCTATGAGATCAATTTAAATATCC